ATGCGTTCAATATACCGATTTTTCCTACATGTCTGAAACACATTGTCCCTCCTAGTTTTTCATCCTTCACATCAAGTTCCTGATGCTTTCATCGTCTATCCCTATGTACTAAATCTTTATAAGGTTTATTTATTAGCCATAAACCAACATACGTGGCCTTATATTGCTTTGAGGCGGTGATTGCGATGGTTATCCTGATAGGTATGTTGAATTGTTCAAAGAAAATTATACTGCGTCCTCCAAAGTGTCCGATGCTGAATTGAATTTTGCATTCTATTTAATGGCTATTTGACAGAACCACACAAGTTTATACAAAATGGTTCATTATTCTTGGAGAAAAATTGATAAACAGATTATGTGAACCGTCTTAGGCTTTTATGACCATATCATCTTACGAGTCTGTTATTTCTTTTGCGTCTGATATAAACAACAATCGGCCACCCTGAAATATGTTATAATGTTTTCTGTTGATGTTATTATCAAATCAAATTTGTTTGTGTTATGGCTGCATCTATTAGTAAGTTTACGTACGAATAATATGTTAAAATCCTATTCGTACGTTTACGTACGAATATGACTGGCAGTAACTATACGTACGTATACGTATGTACGTGTAGTGTATCTTTTGCTTATCCGCAATTTTACGTAAACGTTTTCAATTTTAGAAAAATATATCAGTTGATATCGAAATTATCTTTCACTTCCATGAAAATGTTCAAATATATTTACCAACTCAAGAATTCTTTACATCTGATAATGCAAAATTTGATGAATATAATATGTAATTCATTATGCATAGTGGAATTTCACAGGAAACTATGTTCAACATTGTTTGGGCAATGTACTGTGGTATATGGTTCACTTTTATATCAGGCGTTATTTCTATCTCACTTTTATATCAGGAGTTTTTGTAAAGATGTGAAACCATTATAGCAATTCGAATTTGATCGATTATTTCGTCGATCACATTGATCTCAATAAATGTAGGAACTTATTCTTATAAATGTAGGAACTTCTTCCTATTTTTCTAGCACATTTTCTTCTGTGCCTAACACATTGTGAAATAACTTATTTTCATATTGCATATGTTTAAACATTTTAATCATTATGTTGTACGTATTCAAAATTTGAATTTGATATGATTACATGCATCAAATATACGTGATTGATCACAGTAATTAATATTTTACAAACGCAGTCGTTACGTACCATTAGCATTCTTGGAAATTATTCGCACGTGGGCGTACGGATAAAGTCACATACGGATGTATACGTACGGATAGGCTTTGACATATTTATACGTACGTATACGTACGTATAAATATGCCAAAGCCTATCCATACGTATACGTGCGGATAGATATGGGAAAGCCTATCCGTACGCAAATATAGTTGTCAATTCACGTACGGATAGCATTCTTGATGGTTATTCGCACGTAAACGTACGGATAAAGTGCCTTATCGCTATTTGTACGTATTCGTACGTATACACGCACTGCGTGCGAATAGACACTTCCCTGTTGAAAACGAGCGGGAAGCGGGATACCAACTCAAAGAGCGAGATTTTGTTGTTGATGAAATAAATGAATGGAAAAACCCTACATTAACTCACAACACATTACTCTGGAACCTAGGTACATGAATGGATATAAAAATGAAATTCTTTTTTTTTCACATTTTTTCCTATATTCTTTGAACTGCTTCTATCTATCAGAGAATAGCTCAGCTCTTCATTGAATTATAGAACAGAATGTTTGTTTCATTGTTTCAGAAGCATTTTGACATGATTGAATATTTCATTTGTTTATATTATATCCATGACAAAGCATGCCATAACTGATTGAAGAGTTACAAACAGTTGATTCTTCGTTGAGTTAACAAAGAGAATCATGCAACCGACTCTAGGCATCTTAATTATGATTTTTGAAGGGACCTATGGCAGACAAGTTCTGTAATTATGTTCCGATTCTATTCAAAATTTGGATCTAGGGTTTTCGGGGTCGGAAATTATGATTGTTTCGTCGAATTTTGGAAATTCAAGATGGTGGATTCATGGTGGATTCAATATGGTGGACGAGTTTCGTAATTATGATCCAATTCTATTCAAAATATGTATGTGAGTGTTTTCGTGGTCGAAGATTATGATTCCAATGTCAAAATTGGGACATTCAAGATTGCAGATCCAATAAAACGGACGAATTTTGTAATCATAATCCGATTCTATTCAGAATTTGTATCCGGGGGTTTTTGGGGCCGTAGATTATGAATCATTCGTCCGAATTGAGAGATTCAAGCGAACTAAAAAGGAGTAGAGAGATAATAATCGAATAGCTCGACGAAGATACAATTCACAAGTTACCCCCACACTTTTTACAATGAAGCAAGTTTTCAGTTTCTGAAACTTCATTATATGTAGTTATTTTTGAATTCTGAATCACATATTGATATTTATTTAAGGGCTTCAACGCGAGCGAAGCCGCGGTTAAAGGTAGTTACAGATGGAAGTGATGCTGAATTGGCAATCAAAGAATATATCACAGGAATGGAACGTCAAACCGGACAACAAGTACAGATTTTTAAATCAGATGATGGTGGTAAATATACATCAAAATCAGTACAAAATTATTTCAAAAGTAATGGAATAAAAGGACCCCGCACCGCTCTTATGGGTTTTCGAGTCCCGGTCAAATCGACTGGAATAATTATAGTATGTTGTAGTTAGTGATATCCTGATCAAAAGCTCTCATGGGCCCAACTCAATCCTATGACTAGTTCTCGAGCAACAGCGATTCAAATGTTGGATTGTGGGCCTTTAAGGGTCGTACAAAAAGACGCATTTTTCTGAATGAATTTGTGCCCTATGAGCTTCAAAAAACGACTTGTTGATAGCATTTCAACCTTAATAATAAGTTTGTTTGAAGAATAATTCGATCAACTGGAATATTGATAACAGGGTGATGCATAATATCTTGACAATTATTTATGTTTTGTAATAATCATGAATTTTCCTATATCAAATATCACACTGTCCGTGTTGAGAATTGAAGTTCATTGAATAAATAAAGAAATCGAGTATACAGGGCGGTATCGCACAGAGACGTAAGTAGTAACATTCAAGACCACATAACTGATTTTGCAAATGAATTATACAATCCAGATCCTGATATTCCCAGGGCAAATGCATATATTGACGAAACATATTCATATATAGATGAAAGTTCAAACTTTCGAGCACTACGACAGTCTTTGAGTGAAGCTCGCACCAATTGTAGCTCCAGGCGGCTAGGTATTACCAATTCAAGGACCATATTTTTCAGATTCACGTAGTGAATTTGACCGAGATGCAAATAATATGAGAAGATGGTTTCAAGAAGGTGATAGTTGATTTGGGATATAGAGATGCTATTTCACTACTTGAAGGCTTGGGTATTTCTGATAGAATGCCCGCACATCTTCAACGTGGACATCGGCAACTTACTTCAGAAGATGCAAATGTAACGCGTTTGGTAACAAGAACAAGATGGATAGTCGAAGCCAGAAATGGTCACTTCAAGTCTCTGTTTTAGTTTTTTGACCATGCTACAAAAATGCAACATGTTTATCACATTTTTATATTTTCTGACCTACCCTGTATGCTGTGTGACTTGCAACCATTTTGAGTGCACCTAAAATGATTACCGAACATGCACCAACTATTGGCACTATCTGTATTTTGGTTGTGCAATTCATTAAAAAGATTCCCATATGTTGCACACTTAAATGACCACACTGTACATATAGGAGATAGGAGATAGGGTGATCCTTATGAAAACAATGTTACGATTATTTCAAATTTCAACGACCTGTATGTCGACAATGAAGCGTCTCACGACCAATGTTTATAAAACTGCTCTCCTTTTTTTCTTCAGATACCATCTGATTCTCACCTTGACCTCTGACCTTGTAAAAAAATCTACTTGACCCCATTAATTTACTACTCCTCACAGATATTGAATATTTATTTTTTATTCGATGTCGAGATATTGACTTGTGGAGTTTTTAGTACAAACCCTGTATATTTCCTGAGAACAGCTCGTTTTCTTGCCTCTCCATGTCATCCAGGACAATATTGTATATAATATGGATCTCATTCACTGTTCAGTTGGTATTATTGCAAGAGAATAATACTCCTAGTTATCGTATAGAATTGTCACGTCGATCGATCTTCTGCATTGAAGATTTTGCCATCAATGTTAATCCACTAGGCAGATAGATAGGTATATATAGTCGTTTCGGATAAACAATGGAATCTCATAACGTAATTTATCTATGAATCTCAACAATCGTGCCCATTATATCTAGCCGAAGGTTCTTATGAGTAGGGTCTTTAGTTTATGAATATTGTGGGTTACTTCTCTATTCTTGATCCTGACAAATAAATTCAAGGCTATCACATTGGGACTGAATTTTCAATTCAACGATAGATGACTCGAACGTTAGAAAATATATCAAGGGTAGGACTGATAGTTAGATAATAGAGGGTTTTCCGCTTATAAAAGCTCATGTTATGTTTATGTTCTTGACATCAGTCTTATAAGTATATCGTGATAAGTATATGGGAAAGGAAACACTGTTTTCCTTACAATATCTCTGAATTTTTTTATGGTTCTGGTTCCCACGAAAACGGATATTGGACAATTATTTTATATTTTCAAAAACTATCAATGTCCAAATAATATAATATATTGAGGGTTTCAATAAGTTTTCCTGTTTTTTTCAACAGCTTTTTGTATAGATTAGCGAAATTGGATCAAGGTTAACATTGTTCTTATCGAATTCACAATATATCACTTTTAAGAAACACCCGGAAACACTATAGTCTCTCAGACCACCGTCATCACTAAAGGGTTACAATATCTGTGAGGAATTCACCTTGTCTGAATCTCGCGAAGTTTTCCGTTCATCATTCTAGCCTTATTCTATTCTAAATTACTCTCACTCTCATATTACATCTACGCCTACCTCAATTTCTTTGCATCACGTCGTTTCCTTTTTTTCGCAGCATCTGCGCCAAAATACCTGGAATAAATGGATGAAAGTTCTTTACATAATATTATCATTCGGAGTGCGTCATATGGGGTCGCGTTGTGATGATATTAGTGTTTCATTTTCAGGAGCTGGAAGTTTATCAGGGAGAAGCAGTCGTGGGAGGATTTATAGATATTATTATGTATTTTCATCGTAACTTATTTCCTCAAATATTCACAATGACTAGACAGGAACATTTTCGTACGAAATCTTTCAACCTACTACCAATATTTGAATAGAAAAAAAAAACAATACTGATACAATTCACCGGTAGAGTAGAGAAAAGTTTATCATTTCGAATTTTAGTTTCACATGTAACCATACTGATTTATTATAGGTCGATATACAGCGTGTTTCAGAGTTGTGGTGACAAAAGCATAGGGGAGATTCCTATCAACAATACATGGAAAAAAGTTCATACGCTCAGGCCGATTTGCATGAAATTTTTATGGTTTATTCACACGATTATCAGACATCCAATTTCATCCAGAATTTCCAGGGGCGTACCTACCCTGTGTTTTTTTTTCTATTTCTTCTTAAATTTTCAGAAACCACTAAAAATACAACATTTCTGTCTACTGCTATGTTTTTCCATCTTGCTTCGTTTTCGAGGAAAACGGACAATACCATACCTCAGCATATTTCTGAACTCCATAAGATGCTCAGATATTATCCAAAAGTTATTGCACATTATTTTTTATGGAAACAAGAAAGACATAAAAATCAATGCCCTCTCTCGATTGCATACGAACTTCGATGAAAAAGCATCGTGGCCAAATTATCTGAAGCAGTACGAAGCAGCTTCTAAAGCCAATGAGTGGACACAAGAAGACAAGGAAGTAGCTTTTGCAGTAGCTCTACGGGGTGATGCACTGCAAAGAGCCAACAAGAGCCTGCAGGAGCTCGTATTGGACGTAGTCCGGTTGGTTCATTGTGCCTACGCATCATCCATGAGTCCCTCATAGAATGTTCAGCTTTTCATACGCTCGTGGATAGGTTGCGAGATATTGAAAGGCAGAAGGCAGTTCACCTCATTGGATCGAAAGACGTCACTAGTTCTCTGGCAGCTGCGCTCGAGATAAAGGCCGCAATAGAAGCTTCACGAGGATCAGCGAAAGTTCAAGCCATGAACGACAGTAAAAAAATTGCCGAGAACCACAGACAAAATTCAAATGAAGCCTTTATGAACGCCATCAAGGGTCTCTTGGATGGAAAGAGGAGACCAGTTTGCTGTTGGAATTGTGGGCAGTTGGGCCACCTCCAGAGAACTTGTAAACGAGTTAAACAGGCTGCTGAGGAAGGACCATCTTCCAAGCAGCCACAGGAAAACTAGAGTTGGTCGACCTCAAGGGCACAGCTGCGACCCGTCATTCTCAAGACCTCCTCATCTTCGTGGTATCCTCACGGCGTGATAACAGCAGTGTCTACGTTGATGAGCAGATTGTCGGAAATGAATGCGCATTGTTGATGGATACTGGTGCATCGAAGACGTTCCTACGACTTGGACTCCTGACGTCTCCAACAACTTGTGACCTCAGAACTGCTACGGGTTAAGTTGCCACCGTTTATGAAGAAATCGATGTGAATTTATTGATCAGGACCGTAAAATATCTACATCGGCCTATGATGGCGGATATTGAAGATGTTATTCTGGGAATGAACATCATGGGTGCGCAAGGGATCCAACTGGATTTTAAAAGAAGAACACTCAAGGTGGGTGCCGAAGAGATCTTCTTGCATCCACGAGTAGAGGTAGTGGCGAGGGTAAGGTTAGAAGAGGACGTACTGTTATCGAAACGGAGCGAGACCATTGTAGCAGCTCGGATTGAGGGTACATTGCAGCAAGGCAGTCCCATCATTATGGAACCCTGAAACCATGAAGAGTGCGTCGACGAAGAATCTTAGCAAAGCGTTACTATCAGCAGACGACCGTGTACCTGTTCGATTTATCAATATAAATTATTACCCAGTGACTATGCGCAAAGGAACGAAGATTGGAACCTGTATTCCGGCAGCCTCCATCATCCATCAGGTGATAGCAACCACTGAAGATGCCGGCAAGTATGAAGAACTCGTCTCTGCTGCAATCGACTCACTCAACAACCGACAGAAGAAGAAGATAACTAAGTTACTGCAAAGGTATAGAACGATTTTCATTCCTGTCGATGGAAAAACAGGTAGAACCAACATTCTGAGTCACAAAACCGATACAGGAGATACTAGACCGATTCATCAACCAGCATGAAGATCACCACAGGCCAAGAGAGAAATTGCAGACAAGATCATCCATTGGCAGAATAAAATATTTTCTTCACGTTGGATCTGAAGAGTGGATATTGGCAGGTGGCGATGGACCCGGCAGACGAGGAGAAGACAGCATTCACCATCGGTACTGGATTATGATGGCAGTTCAAGGTTATGCCTTTTGGACTCATCAATACTCCGGTCACCTTTGAACAAATCATGGAGAATGTATTAAGTGGATTTTCCTGAAAGACATGCCTGGTTCATTTGGATGACATCATCGTGATCGGTAAAACTTTTGATGAACATCTGGCTAACCTAGAGGCAGTTTTCAAGAGACTTCAGGCTGCAAACCTCACGCTCAATCGGAAGAAATGTAATTTGCTGCAGGAACGGGTAAAGTACTTGGTACACGCCATCGGAAGCCTGGATGCGGATGTCGACCCTGAGATAGTTCGAGCAGTCAAGCAATGGCCAGTACCAAAACACAAGCACCCACTCAGGAGCTTCGTTGGATTCTGCACTTATTATCGACGTCACGTTCGGATGTTTTCGGATATAGCGAATCCTCTTACTCGTATCACCGAGGAAGCACGCCCCTTCCACTGAGATTCAAAATGCCAGGTAGCCTTTGATGCTTTGATCGCTTGACGACGAAACCGATTCTTGGGTATCCACATTCCACAAGGACAATTCATTCTTGACTCAGATGCCAGCAATATGGGTGTAGGAGGAGATATTTCGGAATGAAAGAATCGCGTATCGCGAATCGCCGCCCTTCTTGGCCAGAAATAGCATCATCTTCACAGGCCTTGAAGGCATACTATAGTCAGTGGGACTCCTTGATATTACATGATTACCAGCTGCAGAGGAATCTCGACAGCGATGACGGGTCGAATAATCAATCGGATGCAGTTGATAATTCCTAGGAGTCGAGTGTAAGGAGTACTCGGATATGTACATGATGGGACTTCAGGAAGACATCTAGGAGGAAAGAGGACACTGCAGCGGGTACGTGAGCGATTCTACTGGTTGAACTGCAGTGGCGACCACAAGGAGTGGTGCCGTAAGTGCACCATATGCTTTGCCAGCATTGTAAAAACCTACCATCTGCCAATTGTTTGAAATGTACTTCAAATCCCTAGGGATTTGAAATACCATTTTTCCCAAAAATAGGGATTTAAGTATACTTTAAAACCCTGAAGTGCATAACGAATCTTACTCACTCACCTATATTGGTTGATAGCTGCAGGTTCCCCATATAACTCCGACTTCAAGACAGCATTTTCTAAAGCTTCGTCCAGTCTGTCCTTGTTGGTGCCGTACCTGAACCCTTTTTCGTATTCAGCGATGGTTTTATCGTCGCCGAAATTGTTGTCCGGGTATTTGAACAGGCTGGAAGAGATGTTTGGCAGAGTATTTCGGTTGATGAAGTCGGCTTGTTCTTGCTCCCAATCGAGATCTGGCAGCGATTTTAAATCGTGATTGGCACCTCCTAGGGGGTAGGCTGTTTTGGAAACATTTATATAAAGAAATACAAAGAAGCTCAAAGTCATTTCCACAAATGTTCATAAAATGAACAACAATGGTAGATGACGGGAGGAAAACAACTACATTCCTGGCTGATGCCACGCAGAACATTGAATTATTACATTTTATATACTATATACTAATAAGTGTTTCTTCCCCTAATGCCGATTGATTTCGATTTGGCCAGGTTTACACAACGACACCTACATACCGTTTTAGGGTGATCTCCAGCTATAGCAGTCCGAAGACCGCCTGCTATGCGTAACCTGGCCCAACAAAATCCAACCAGCAATATTTGTAGTCTCAGAGGAGTGTTTCTTTCCTTCGAGTGTAGGTGGCGTTTTACCAATGTGGCCCATGGGGGATTTCTCTTACCCCATCAGAACACCGTAGAAGAGTTGACGACCTTTTACTTTTCTATAGATACTTCCACAGGAAATGTTCCTCAGAAATATCTGTTATAATTCCATCAGCAATACTTGTCAGACGAACTAGACAGTCACAGTCAGCACATCCCTTCGTCGTTAACCTAGAAAAATGTCGAACAACACTCTACCAAAGCTCGTTCATCTAAAGAACGGCGAAGCATTGGAATTCTTTGCCAATGGAAGTATTTCCAAGAACTTATAATCTCCGAAAGTTCAAAAAAATCAGCACACCTACCTCTTCCATTAGGAATTTCATTTCGTGCGCTCCAAGAGATGAAAAAACGTATCGATGCATAGATTTCGGGAGGATGTAATTCAATGTCCTACGTGGCATTAGCCAGGCCTGGAAAGTAGTTGTTGTTCTTCCGTCAACTACCATTATTGTTGTTCATTTCATGAAAATTAGTGGAAATGACCTCGAGCTTCTTATTCCACTTTGAGCATTGTGCTATTTCGTAGTTGGAACATTTATATGGTATATGATCCGACTGCAAGATTTCCTCGAAGATTACTATACGTTCATCAAGTATTAAATGAAAATCTAATTTCAACATTATATTCGTGAATAGGAGAATATATTTTTACCGGGTTCCCTATCAAAATATGGCCGCAACTATTTTTATTTAAAATATTATTGATTGATTTTTTGGAAAAAATGTCATCCATTTGTTTTTTAAATAAAATATTCCACCGTTCATCTTCAGCTATGTATGTGAAGAACTTGCAAAGTGCACGCAGAAAAATCCGGCAGAGGAAATCAACAAAATTTCGCAATTAGAAAGTCGTGGTATTTTTAAATGCGATCGAAGTACAATGCACCTCGAAAATAAGTTAATTTTACCTCTCCAATAGTGAAAGTTAATATCAAAATGTGGTTAACAATTTCAGACATTGGGGAATGAAAATAACCGAGATAAACGTTTTATTCAACTGAACTAATGAGTTAAGTCTGACAGTTTAGAGTTCCCTATAATAATATGATGATTTTTACTAGCTATTACTATATTACCGCCAATTTCTCTTTAATTCACCATATTTTCCAGGTGAAATGATTGAAGAGTTACTGCATTCTGCATTACTGCATTCCTAGTACTAACAACTGACATATGGTGTAATGTACTGCATTCAGAAGTGTGGAATTACTAGCGCATTAGCATTTATAAATTGGGGTGATGAAACTACCACACTCTCAAAGAATACACTTCGTATTATTGTATAAATAACATAATTCAATGATGTCCATAATAATATATTTGGAAACACTATCGCCGAATATTCAGTACAATTAAGGGATTGTTGAGAGTAGGAGCATAGAATATTTCTTCAGCAAATTCTATTTCAATGCCTATTTGAGTTTAAGATTGTTGTGATGCTGTCCTAATGAAAAATTGATAGATTATTTTCGAGTGTCCAATTAACTTCAATAGCAGGTAGGTATAATATATTTTCAGCGGTATTATTTTCATGATGATGTCCCGAGTAAAATAAAAATATTTTTTACATTTCAGAGATCAACAACTCCTTCAAATATGTCTTGACTCTTGCTACATTGGATATAGAAGAATTCTTATCAGTGAAACTTGAACAAAGTATGGGTATGTATGAAAATATTGAAATTTGAGAATTCAGTTTTCAGGAATCAAGTTTATGCAATAGGTGATACCTAGGTCCATTTGTTTGTAGGAATTATCATTCAACACAATGAGCTATCTAAATCTATAGCTACGTAGGTATATTGGTAGGTTTATTACTAGATAAGTAAGGTTGAAGGTAGGTGATAGATATTCTGTAAGTATACTATATACTATAAGTACTCATATATCGCATGATGGCATGATTAAACTAGTATTATTATCCATACCTACTCATTATTTTTTTTTCTCATTTCAGATATCGGTAATTCTATGTAACAATCATGGACCATTTGATTGAAGAAATGTTGATTTAAACTTCAAATGTTTCTATATGATTCCAGGAACGAGGGGAAAAGATCTATAGAAATATACGCATACATGATAGCATCAGTTCTCCAATCTTTCAGGATTGATATGATTTCCAGTTGATGTGAAAGATAATTCAACAGTTTTTCCTTGTGCTGACCTTCAAAAATATAGAAGTCAATAGATCGTCGAACAAAATACTTCGAAATTGATATTTAATAAGAATGTTATCTTATTAAAATCAATGCCAATGGTGCAGCAATCTAGATATAGCACTCGAAATCAGCGGCTGGATTGGTGGAAAGCACAAAATGAGATTCACTAGCTGGCCATAGTATCAAACACATGGTGTTTCTCTGAAAATATTCGTGGTGAATTTTACCACGATGCTGTGTTGATTGTTCTCAACTTTTCGCATTAAGTTTTCACGATGCCCAATAACAGACGATTAGGTTGTATCAACGTATTCATAGAGTATATTTTACTGCGGCGAAAGTTTATCCTTTCTCTTAACGATTTTCGTGGTAAGATATACCTACAGCGATTCTAGTAGTTTGTACCATTCTTCTTTCTGCGTATGATGGTTGCTATTGCGCACTTGGCCGCAACCTCTTCGCAGCCATCATGTGTAAACAGGTATCATTTTCTCACATTTATTAGTGCATGGCGTTTATTGATCATTTTAAAATGAAATGAAAGCTTTTTTGTGCATGATGGAATGACTCTACCAATGCAAATATTACCGCAAACAGGAGTTGCCTGCTGAAAAAGATAGTTTATACCGAAAGAAAGTTCAGCGCGCAACATATCTCGTAAGTCATTGCACATGCGTCGGAAGCTAGAGTGTTCTAAACCTATGGCGCCAACCATAGTGAATGGAACTTTGGATACTTATGTAAAAGAGTTATTTCAAATTATGAAGTTAACGAAACGAGCGCAGGAAATGCATTTTCCAACGAGTTTTGTACACTATTTTTCCTACGACCACAAATATTTAGGGATCATGTTTCTAATCATATTCGATCACATGAAGGTGATATCATTATCATTATTATTTAATTTCACTTCAATATTTAAATGACATCATTAGTTTAACGTTAACTTAACATTAACTTGATATGAACTTAACATTAACTCAACATTAACTCAACCTCAACTTAACATCCCCTTAACATCAACTTAACATACATTTTACAGTTTCTTAACATTAACTTGAAATTAACTTAACATTAACTCAACATCAACTCAACACTAACTTAAAATTAACCTAACATAGACTTAACATTAACTCAATAATCATTCAACATTAACTCAACATTATATCAACATTAACTCAAAATTAACTTGACATTACCTTAAATTCAAATTAACATCAACTCAATATCAAATGGACATTAACTTCACATTAATCACTAAATTGCCAATACATTAACATTAATTCAACTTTCAATTGAAATCAACTTGATTTCAACTTTTCATCAACTTAACATTACGTCAACCTCAACGACAATAACTCATGTTAAATCGATACTAACTTTCTATTAACTTGACCATAACTTGACTTACCATAATTCAGCATAATAATCATTCATTTGTACATCATAATCTATAGACCCTGTTACGTGCGATTTTCGAATATTTCCACCCATGTGAGTTTTACTTTCGAAATTTCTAACTGTTATATGTTGTCATAGTGAAACGAGTCACTTTCTCAATAACAAATCAATGTGTTTTGTGCTGTTTTCATTGGTGGTCGTAGGAAAAAATATATTCTCATATTCAGGAATGATAAACTTGATTTTCATTGAATACTTGATGAACGTAGTCATCTCGCAGTGGGATCCCGTACTAATAGATCAACAGAAACAAACTATTCGCGGTGGCCAAGGTCATTAGATGATGTTCTGATTACATTGAAAACAACGGGAAATCATGTATAACTTCCAATCTACGTCAGAGTTAGGATGTTCTCCCGTAGTTTTTAATGTCATCGCAACATCATTTGAAGAACTTGTCGACCGCGAATACATTGGTTCTGCTAATAATAGGAGAGCCGGCTGCAAATTTGACCGACATCTGATAACGAATTGAACTGTATATCTGAAAATTCTACCTCAGCCACCCTTAATCGGAGTCAAATCCTCGTCACATCGATATTTTTGATGCCGACCAAAATGCAAATGAAAGGGGGTAATGTGCCCTTCGCGAATATCCAAACGTGCTGCGATTCAAACAGATCTAAGTTAGTGACAGAGCATCAATATTTCAGGCGCGTATACAGCTTCGTTTCAAGGAGAAGGATAAAAGACGTCGCGCAGGGGTGACAGAAAGCAAAAAAGCGCCAAAGGCGAAGTTATTTTGTGTAAAATATTCATGATACATGTACTTCCTCGAGCAAAACGGTAGCCATTTTTCACGCCAGTGAATAACCACAATTCACTGGTCTAAGAGTTCCTAGGGTACTGATATCACATCTATTATTTCGGAGATATTCAGGAGTTTTAATCCTTTCATTAAAAAAATGCTGGTTTGACGAATCTCAGAAAATATCCAGAATTGAAATT